GCACCACTAACAACAGCAGCCCAGTGTCTTTAGTCCAGGAGTGTGGCTCTCTGGCTCTACCAGATCTAGTCTCCTTGCAGGGGGAGGACCTAAAGCAGTCTGGAGATGAAAAAGATGGAGGGCTGCTGGGAGAAGAGCTGCAGGAAAGCACACAGAGTCCTCAGGGGAGTGAAGGGCAGGTGGAAGGCTCCTGCTTGAGGTACTACCACGTCTTCAGGGAGGGCGAGCTGGCAGAGCTGATAGCGAATCATGTCGAAGAACTTCATGTGAAACACACCTACTTTGATCACGCCAATTGGTGTGTGGTGGCAGAGAAAGTTCAGGTATGGAAAATATGACCGGAACTTGTCGTATTTGAGTTCACTTTGCATCGCCTCTGCCTCAAGTTTTAGCACTGAATTCCACATGTGAGAATAATGACATTCTTTTCATTTAAATGTGCAAATGTAGCCATTGTTGAAGGTCTAGGTAACACTAACATTCTCCAGTGCTGTAATTCTCTCATGAACTATTTAAAAATGAGATTTTTATCCATGTATTTATTTATTTATTTTATCCTGGAACCAGCTATATGTCAGACCTTTTGGAAAGCAGCAAATAGATATTTTATGGAAGTGTTCAACCGTGGCCGTTACTGTATGCTGTACCAGATTTTTTTTAACTATTTATTCTTTTTCAATAAATCTACAGTGTATCTTTTAGAGTCAGTGTTTTGTTATTTAACCCTAGTGGGCTGCATCACAGCTATTGATTTGTATTTTAAAATAACATTTTTTCTCTTTGTGCTTTAAATATGAGCAAAAGAGAAATGTACAAAGCTACAGCATACTCTTCCCTCTGCTGTTATCTTTTAATATATTGATTTCAGTAGAGAATTCTTTCTTTCTTTGTGTCTGACCGTTTCAAAATCGCATGCTGCTTATCTCTCATTAAAAGGAGCCAAATTTGCAGCTAGTATCAGCTGCGGACTTCTTGGTAACGCTTCCTGTGAAACTGCTCGTGCGTACTTTTTCATTGCACTCTCATACAAGTTTAAAATTGTGCAGAATCTCTGCCGAAACATTAGTGCCATTTTCTTGTTGTTTTACTCTACAAGTGTTCCAGACAACATGTCGCCAGTGTGTCTGTATGTGCGCGCCCTTGATGTAGATATTTGCAATAGTGGCATTGTGTCTTCTAACAATTTGGTATGTCTCAGCAAATCAGAAAACTGCCTCATGTACTGTGAATAAACATTGCACTCTATCACAAGTATATCGCTGCTTGATGTCAGTGAATGACATAATAGGTGAGACTTGAAAAACTGTTTATATCCATTGTGGTGCATTTCTTTATCTGTATAGTTTTTGTGGACCAACTAGGTTTGTCTTAAAAGTGGCAAATGTCTTGTGTGAGCTGATGTAAATACTTTGTTTTGGGTTTTTTTTTATTAAATTTGTTTTTGTTCACGGGTGTTGTGTTGCTTTTACTCCCATTAACAACAAAGATTTGTTCATGTACAGTTTATTCATTGTCACACAGGTACAATTTGGTAAATGGTAAGCTAAAAGCCTTTATAGCCAACTTGCACATACTATACTAGAATCATCACCAGCCTACAAATGAAAGCCTTAATATTTGATTTGTGAGGATTTTTAAATAATTTTTTAACATGTAGTCATGTGAAGAAGATTTCCACTGGACTCTGCAGTCTATGCAATAACTCAATTATTTTACTGTATGACTGTATTGGTCTCTCACGTTGTAGTGAAATCCTCTTCTTTTTAATATTGCTTCAATTCATTAATGTTTATTGGCGTTCATTTATGCACAGCTCTTAAAAGCCACACCACACTAGCATTTAAATCTGGTCTGGGTCACTACAACACCTTGAGTCTTTTCTTTTTCAAACATTTTATTGTAGATCGAGGTTGACTCAATGACCGCAAGGTTCCCAAATCCTGTGGATACAAAACAAACCCGAATCCCTCCACCTTGTGAGCTGATATGTGGTCTTTGCATTGACATGCTGTATTTTGTACCCAAAATGGCGCTATCCATTATGGACAAGCATCTCTACTTTAGTCTCATCAGCAACATTGTTGCAGAAGTTTATTTAAATGCAGTTTTTTTTCTAATTGCATTGGAATGTTAACATTTCCGATACTACCTGAAGCTTGTAAAGTTTTTAGCTCTTAGTTTTTATGCCCCCCCCCCAAAAAAAAAAAAAAAAAAAAAAAAGAAAAGAAAAAAAAAGAAATCCTCCCTGAGAGTTGTATTGTCTGACCTTTGAGTGAATTTTGTGGAATTTCCACTCCTGGTAAGATTGTGGCATTAACAGGGAGCTGAAAGCTCCAGTCCAGAAAACTACCAGAAACTCTGCTTTTGTGTTTTTGACCAATTAATCAAGAGCATTTGATAAGCAGCACCTCTTGATTCCTATATAAACAGTTTTTCCACAGGACTGTACTGAGTTCCATAAAAACCTTCTTTTTCAGATGAATGTAAAAAATATGTTATGGTAGCTGTGATGTCCCTATAACAATATAATTGTAGTTACAAGATCATCATTGCAACGAACCAAAAATGAGTGAAATAAGTTCTAATATGTGACCGCATAAGATGTATCACTCCTACAGTTAATCTCAACTGTGTAAATTAAATAAATATGCCAAAGTAACTGAAGTACTGGTCAGTTTCTACATTTTTGTAACTTTACAAATGACCATGGCATTGACTCTCAAATGTCAGCTACCCACTGAGGATCCTCTTGATTAGGGAGGCAAGTTTTACATACCACACTCCCTCCAAACCTGAAACATAAATAGCAAGGTTATAATGAGAACTCGTTTTTTAAACTAACCATTTCTGTACATAAAATTGGACAAACAAGTCTTCTATCTGCTGTGTTTCATTTACCTGAGTTGCTGCTCTGTGGACGATAGAGTGTCTGAGTGCCAGTCTATCGATGTCTTTAGAGTATCCTCCACCAATAACAGCAGCGATAGGGACACCTCTTTTCACCACAGTCTTCAGCACAAACAAATCTCTCTGATAGAGCCCTAAGGGACACTTAAAGTCATTCAAAAAGTCTGTAAGTGATTTGAAGGTAAAAACACCTGGGTGTAAAACAGAATGGCTCACCTTGGTCTGTCAGGCGAAGCCTTCCGAGTTCATCTTCCCAGTGAGGATCAACCCCTGCGTCATACAAAACCAGGTCTGGGCGAAAGGTTTCCAGCAGCCAGGGAAGGTGGGCTTCAACTGTTGGGTACACCATCAGACATATTAGTGAGTTTTTAGAAGCATCTTCAATGAAAATCATCTTAATCAAAAACAACAATTCTCACAAATTGAAAACAGTAGTGCTAGAATTGCGATTCAGTGATTAGATATTTATTAATATGGAGAGTATCTACATACCTGTGGAGAGGTAATCCTTGTCCTCCAGCCCATCCTCCACACTGATATCAAGGTCGCTCTGTTGTTTACGAAGTGGGAAGTTTTTCCCACAGTGCACTGAGAATGTAAACACAAAAGGCTCCTCTTTAAAGATGAAAGCGGTGCCATCACCCTGTAGGATGTTTGACACATGAAAAAAGTTTAGCCTCTCAACAAAGACAAATGCTAATCCACAACAGAGACTAGTGTACTCCACCTGATGAACATCTAGATCCACAATGAGAACTTTGCGTTTAGTAGAAGGGGAATTAGGAGAATTGTCCATCGTGTATTTGGCTGCGACTGCAAGATCATTGAGGAGACAAAACCCCGAACCATAGCTGGGAAAAGCATGATGAGTTCCTCCTGCTGTGCTGCAAGCCAGACCCCTCTGCAGAGCGACTTCAGCAGCTAAAACAGTCCCACCTGACGATGAGAGAGAACGTTAACAGCAAACATAATGCAATCTTTCCGGGTCACGTGTACGTCATGAATTTCTCTCACCTGTTTCATATCGACAGCGCCTCACTATGCCTTCACTCCAGGGAAAGCCTGTCCTCCTTTGCTCTTGCTCACTTATTTTCCCATTTATGAAGTTGTCCAGGTAGTCCTCAGTGTGCACACACCTCAGTAAATCCTTAGAGGCAATTTCAGGGACCCACACCTACTGTAAGAAAGGAAAAGGCACATCAACAGGAAAATGTGCTTTCCAATAAATACTACTTTTAATAGCAGCAGTAATATTCACTATTAGTTGATCTTGTTATGTTTAGAAACTGGATGCCTGTAAATCATAAAAAAAAAAGTACAACTGTTTTGTCGAAAAAAACTATGCTTGTAGTGACACACAAGCAGGAAAAACGTATTATCTGTCATTTATTATCAAATAATCGATTACAATCACAGGCAGATATCATAAAAGTGTCTCACTCACCTGTTTCTCTGTAATGACCTGATCTCCGAGCAAACACTGTAAAACCCGGGGAAACTTGCCCATTGGAAACCTATGATTGGGTGGGAGGTCACACACATACTTGCTGTGATGAACTACTGGAAGCGCGCTAGATTCGTGTCTCACCTGCGAGATGAAAAAGGTGAGTTTTATAATGCACCCACTGCGGCGTTCAGGGGAAAAATACTTCAGTTCACTTTGTTTAAATTATCATACAAACTTCTTACTAGTTCAGCATGGAAGCACCTGCAGGAGGTGAGAGCTTCACCAATCATCAACCACGCGACTTTGGAGCGAGGTCCTTTAGAGAACAGCCGCTTAATGCAGGTCATTTCTAAGACAGGAAGCAATGAATGACGGTCGCTTACTTAAGACGGGAGAACGCTACATTATACACAGTTACGATGTTATGAAACGAGACAGGAAGTCCATAAAGTGTCCCGTCTGTACTGTGTAACGGGATGCTTGGCTGTTACAGCGCCTCCTCAATCTACTGCTGCCATCTTCTGTTATGGAGTGCAAATAACTTTCTGTGCTGCTGTCACGGTTTCTTTCTACTGCTTTGTTTTCTACTATAGTCAACTTGATGGTGAGTATTTTTTTTTTTTAATCAGTTGTATCCTATCCACAGATTTACACGTTTAAACTATTTCAGTATTATGCAAAAATCTTGAACCACCTCTTAATGTTTTATCATTTGCTAGGAGAATGTGTGCAGGAGAATGACTTTATGCTTGAACACAGTCTGAACTCTCGGTAATATAAGTAGTCTTCACAAGTAGCGCTCCAGGTTTATTGAAGGACATTTTTAAAGACCATTCATATGCTTTTCTTTGCAAGCTCCTTTGACTACGATGACCTGGATGACTGAGAACCTTCACAGACACCTTGGCTGGTTTTTGTTTTATTCTCTATCAACATGACCCCACACAGCTTTAATAATGTTGAGGAGAAGCTATTCCATCACTGATAGTGATCCATTATGTGTTTTTCTATCCAGGTGTGCTTTCACTGCATTAGGATTGTGCTTAGAATGGTTGTCATGCTGAAGTGTAGTTCTGATGACTGTAAACACTCATTGTTTTACCTCTCTCATTTGGGTTCATCACTCAATAAGAGCTGCCGCCACCGATTTTCAGTCCAGTCCATTTGTTGGGTAATTTAGCATACCTCATTTCCCCCTGTTTCCCTTCCTTAATACCTTCTTGATAGCCATCCTTCCACTCAGACCATTCATGATGAAGCTTCAGCAAACAGTAAATGGATCGACTGAAGGGTCAATATCTCTCATGTCCTGTATCAAGTCTTATTTTTTCATATTTCTTAAGGACATGAATTGCAGATACTGTTCATCTGGTGGGGATAGTTTTTTTTTTAGGCCCGCTACTTTTTTTCTGCTCTCCACTTGTCCAGTTTCTTCATTTTTAAGAACACACTAAACAGGATGTGTCCTTTAAATACTATTTAATTCCTGTCAGACTGTTTTATCGTTGGTATTTTTCATAGATTCAACTAAAGAAATGGAAACGATCGGTGTTTATGTGACAGGCTGCGCATAACAAAAAATAATTAATTTAAAATTGGTTCTCTAAAATTGTCTGCTATGTGAGGGGAAAAAACCCACTGGTTTATCCCTTAAGTTAGGCACCTCTTTTATGCTTGAATAATTCTCAAATCAGTGTGATCAACAAACAAACAAACACAAAAAAACTTTCCTCTGAAAATGGGTGAAAAAGCAAATATTTGAAAGACCTTCAGAAAGCCTCAGGAACTATTGCTTAAAACCAATTAAAAACAAACAAACAAGAAAGCCAGACTCCTTGGAAACAAAATATTAAGAAAGAGGGGTGGAACAAGATTTTTGTACTGTCGTGTGCCTGTGTATATGGGTTATTAATGTAACATGCATGTTTCTGTTTGAAATAATTAAATTAAGTACTTTGAAATTATATATATATTATTTATAGACTACTTAATTTACAACTTCAGGTAGGCAAGTACAATTTCCATTTCAGTTATCACAACCAAGCTAAAAATAGAAAAAGCACTAAATGATTCTAAAAAAAAATGTTTTCTTTTATTAGCTTTAGGGTTCATATGAGTAAAGGTCAGTATTGCAGGCCATTCAAAGCCATGTGAAAACGAGTTTTTTGTTTGTTGTTGGGGGAACCATAATGTTACTACATCTGGCTCAAATCCACATCTTGTTCCCCTGATGTTGTAGTTTAGTCGTCATCCAGTGAGCAGATTCCTCTGAAGCAAGCTGCTCAGATTCCTGAGTTAGGGTCAGAAAACAGATGGATTGGCTTAGCCAAAGCTGAATACACATTCTTTATGTGGCTGACTGTGAATGCCATCTGAAGAAAAAACTAAACAAAAACGTAAGTCTGTTATATCCTGTTTTTTAACATACAAACCTTTATGGCATGGTCAAACATAAGTTTTTTTGTTTTCTACCCACACACTGCCCCTCCTTTCTACTATATTTCCATATAACGGCAGGGGTAATTGTTTTGTTTCCACTTCCTGTCCGATGTTTATCTGTACCCTGACTATCTTTAGGCAATCGTCCTGTGTCCTCCTTTGTTCCCATCACTGTCAGCTCCATGTCAGCACGCCGTGAACTGAGGTGGTTAATCATAGTGAGAGAGGATCATTTATGGTGTCACAGCAAAATCATGTCAGAGCCTGAGAGATTTATTGTCTTCACTCCCACATGTTCCAGCTGAAAGTTGCAGAAGGGCTCTGTGGCAAGTAAAGTATTACAAATATCAGCAGATTTCTTTCTTTTTATAGATGTAAAATGTGATAATTTAGCTAAAGAAAAATACTACAGTGTTCTTGTCACTTAGTGTCGTGGATTTGAGCTGCTTTTGTGTCTGGTTTTACCTCTCTGGCTGTCTGTCTTACATTGCTTGCAGGCAGCTCAGGGCACCGTCTGGCAGTCTGCTGGCTCTTCATGAATATGTGTGTGTGGGGGGGTGTCGGGGTGGGGGTGTGGGTGTGTGTGTGTGTTAGAGAGACAGAATTGTCTGGCTGATTGGGGTTAGCACAGCCCCCTGAGAGTGGCTACTGTACTCACTGGTAGATAAGAAATAAGACGAGCATGCTGGCCTCAGGTGCAGAGGGGAAATCTCTTCATAATAGAGAGAGGAGATTAGAGAGGTAAAATCAATCACTGACTTCATTCCTGTTAACAGGCATTTCGGATAGAGAGAGATGAAGGTGGCTGTTCTTAACTGAAAGACTCCGATATATCTTGACAGAGGGATTGTGCTGGCGATAAAGGTTATATTAATTTATTATGGTGGATTTTCTCTTTTGCCTTTGCTTCGGTGTTTTACTAAATTTCATCTCAGCATTGTAAAGACCATGTGCTCAGTCTTTTATGACAAATCACTTGTACACGTGTCGCATGAGTGTTCCAGGCAACCAGTTATTTCTATTAATTTCCCTACAGTATCAAAAATCTACTAGTGTATTTGCTGAATTTTCTATTTGCTGTGAGGTGCAGAATGAGTAGAATTCTGGGATTTTCAGTTTTTTATTATTTTCATGGTCACTTTGATCCTGAAGATTTATTTTTATGTACTTCTATTTTATTTAGAGCTTTTTGTGTGTTGTACTGCAGTACTGGGGGGAGCCCAGTCAGAAGCACCCAGTTTCACCTATACAGTTTTAATGAGTTCATAATGGCCTCGGGTCCTAATTTAAAGTATTGCTCACTCTCAGGAAGAAGAGGCACTCTAGCAGACACTGGGAAAGAGACTGCTTTCAATTATTAATGTGGACTATACAGAGATGAAAGCTGCAATTTGTAAAGAAAAGCATATATTTTGAGCAGCTGGAGCTTTTCAGTATCGAGTTTGCATGTTCTGCCTGTGCCTGTGTGGGTTTTCTCCTTCAGTCCAGGGAGATCCATGTTAGGTTAACTGGTGATGGAGGAATGGATGGATTAAGTATATGTTTTCATTTTACACAACATGCAATTGTTTTTAGCTTCTCTGATATGTAATTGCTGCTTAAATTAATAAACATTATTTGGTATTTGTTGTGTGCCATTAGGATGAGGGCTAACAGTCCAAATACTCAGTTTACTGTAAGAAGGATTAAGAAAACAGTAAATAATCATATTTAAGCAACTAGAATCAGGATAAATAAAGAATTTTCTCATTTGATTTTTTTAAAATTCTTTTTCATTTTCAGGTATGCTTGCAGGTTTTTTGTTTGGCACTATAATCATGTAAAGTGGAGTAACATGCAATAAAACATAAATTACATGTTAAAATACTGCAAACTTGATATTTACTGTGATTTATTTTAATTCTAAAGCAAGTTCATGATTGCTGAAGACCAACAAGACTGTAACAGCACTAATAATGCATCAAATACTGCAGTGTATTACTTTGAAAATCCATCCATCCATCCCCACTATCATGTTCAGGTTTACCAGGGTCGAGGGGTTGAAACCTGTCATACAGCGAGAGAGAGTGAGAGAAAATGAGAACCACATTGTGAAGTATGATATCCATGACTTAGATCAAATGTTAAAGTGTGAAAACACCCCTGTGTAGTTCTGCAGTATTTTTCACAAGTGAAGCAGAAAGCAGAGTTGACGCGCAGCTGTGAGCTGCAGTCTGCTTCAGGGCAGCTGTTTTCAAGGCTTGCAGCTCCTGCATCTCATTGCCAGCAGCAACAAAGAAAGAAGATGACAACTGCTGGCCTTTGATCTGTTTTTCTCTTTCTCTCATCAGGCAAAATACGAGCAGGTTGACTAAAGTAAGAAAGCTTTTCTTCCTCATCGTGGTATAAGTTACAATTGGTTCCTTGCTTAGAAAGCAAAGTTGGTTTTTTCAACTAAAAAACAAAACAAAACAAAAAACGTCCCCCGAACAACATTTATTATACACAAATGCTCGATCAATTTTATTCTGCACGCAATGTGTTTTTAACCAAATGAATAACCCTGTCATCTCCAAATAGCCCTGTCATCTTGGCATGTATTTTCATGTTCCTGGAAGCAGCAAACGTGCTAGTTGTCTAACCCAAGTAGGGGAGTGTGTGGTGCAATGTTTGCATCAGACACTGGATTTGAACATACCTGTCAATTACACAACGATCACAACATCAAGCCCACAAACCCCTCTGTGCGCACCCTCCACCGCTCAACTCCGAGCGGAAAGAATTCGTTGGTAGATTGCGAGCGCTTGTAGAGCGTGTTGCAGCAGGTGAGAGCAGGAGTGGTTATTGGATTGAATTAATTTGTAGCTGCTGTTTCTGTATGATATTGACGGCCTGTTGCTCGTTCCCTCCGAGGCAATCGTCTGGTCACACGAAAAGTATAATGGACTGACTCCTCATCCAGTCCTGTGTTCCTATAATCACATACATCCGGGTGAGGCAGCCTGTGTTTGGGCTGTGGTATAATT